TATTATACCAATCCATTTTGTCAAAAAAATCACACAAATGAGGAAACAAGAACACACAAATACCTTTTGCTCAAAAAGTTAGCCAATTTGAATCACTTGAAAAACATCTAAAAGGTGTAATATCTAATAACTGCATCAAATCAATAAATAGGATCACCTAACAAATTGACTATGAATTTAGTAACGACCATTATTCTTCTTAATGATTTTTTTACCAATAATTACTTCCATTAATTTCAAACTCTTGCAAACACACAGATATAGAAATTATGTATGTTGTGTACTCGTATATATATTTACCTTGGAAAACTGTACCTTTTTATACCTCATCTGGAAATTAAAAAAAGAAAAAAAAAGGAAAGAAAAGAAAAGTGTAAGCCCACCACTCAAATATCTTTTTCTTTCATTGTCTCCATATCTGTCCCACCACCACCACCACCACCACCAATCACACCACCCACCTTTCTCTTCCTGATATGCATCCTATTGCATGGCGTATATTACTTAGTATGGAGCTCTATTTTATTTTTTATTTTTTTATGTGTATTGCATAAAATGTAAATAAACTTTAGACCTAAAATTTTACTGGTATATAAATTGATAAAAGAACTAATGTGAAATTGCATCGAATGGACCTAGAAATCTATATTGGATCAATTGGGTTTATGAATGAATTTTCAGCAAATAGTTTATATATATTTGGAATGGAATTTAGTAATATCAAATTCACTGTCGCCAACGTACCAATGGATATTCAACTTGACAAGGACCATTCAGCGGAAATAAAATTTTTTATTTTGTTACTTAATACTTCGATTTGTAGCCTTATTTTTTTAAATATTGACCCTAATTTTCGGTAAACAAGCAAGAAGCAAAACATTGAAGATGATTTTACAAATTTGTTCAATCATTCGAAATGATAACTTTTTAGAAATAAAAGGGATGAAATATTCAAGATACCTACCATAACAAATTCATTTAAATAATGTTTTCTGGAATTAAAATAATAATAATAACAACATGGATAAAAAGGTTAAACATGGTAAAATATTATTTTAAGCTTTTCTTTAAACCATATTTTTTAGAACCAAATCTTTAAGTACCAATAAAGTAATTAGTGATATAGTTTTTACTAGGAGTGCAACTTGGATTGGGTTACCTGAGTCCAATCCGTTTTTTTACGGGTTTGGACAATCATTTTTATAATTAGGGACTAACGAGCCAGTGGCCTAGCGGTATCAGCCTCTTACTTCCCAAAGGGAGGTTAGGGGTTTAAGTCTTAGAAGAGACATGTATGTGTGAGTACCAATTAGGAAATTTTTTTTTTTACAATTAGGGTTAGACTTGGGTTAAAAAATCTCAACCCAAATTTAATTAGGGTTGGGCTTGAGTTGAAGTGCTAGCAATCTGAGTCAACTCGAACCCGAATTCTAATAGTATTTTCGTATATATTTTTACTTTTAAATATATTATGTATAATATTTAAACTATGATTACTTTTTTTTTTTTCAACTTTTTTTTTGTTAAATCTTAACTTATTGTATGTTAACATTTAGGAAAATTAAATTTCTAAAAATTTGTTTGTAATTTATTAAAAACCTACAAAAAGTCTTTAAAAATTTTCTTATTTAAGAGTAATTTAATCTAGAATTAGTTCAAGATCATATTTAATTTTCGGTGTAAAGATTAGCCATATGAGTAACTCGAATTAATTCGAATTTTTTACACGGAATTTAAGCCCGAATTTAAAAATAGAAGGATGGGTTGGGCTTGGATTGAGTAGTTAAGATTGATGATAGGGTTAGGGTTGAGTTTGGGTTTAGCATTTCATATGATAAGTTGGGCTCAAATTATACCTCAAACCCGCTCAACTCGCCCAAATTGCAACCCTAGTTTTTACATAATTTTGTGATAGATTTATTATTTTATGTATAAGTAATAATTCCAGGTTTGATTATGTAGTGGTCTCGACTGCCTGCTTCTCATACTAGACTGACCTTCCTATTCCCCTAGATGAATCAAAATGTTTGAAAGGTTTCATAGAAGAAGATATTGTAAAAGTAATTTCTTACTGATGAACTCAATTCCCGATTTTCCTTCCTATAAAAACATTTCCGAACGTATCCGTTTGTGAAATATTAGAGTGAATGAGAAAGATAACGAATTTGAAACCGCTAACCAAAAAAGGTATAGTTAGGAGGAATTTGCATCTTCAAGTGACTCAATAGGATAGATTTATCAATCTTATGCTTCTTCTTCAAGTACCAAAGATTCAACTCCTTCGGAATCATAAAAAATGATTTAAAAATAGTTATAATTGAAAAAGTTTCCCACTTTGGCACATTATTTGGATCCAATTTTACAGTGGAAGAATCAAATATTCTATTGTAGATGCCACACTAAGAGAGGATAGTCAATGAGAATATATGGGATATTCTTGGTTGGAATTGTGAGATCCTTATATGGCCATTAAATATTAAAATTAAGTTGTCCAACATTGATGCTCAAATTCGGACAGCAATGGGATTTGTTTGGTTCCTTTCTAAATTTATTTTAGTAAAAATGAAAATCATGGAAAATGTTGTGACAATGTTTATTGCCAACGAAATTAAGGTGATATTGACCTGTTATGACATTAAAATAGCCCTACAAACCACAACTCAATTCATGTTGCCTTTGACATCTTCTAATGTTGATTAGGACATTTGTGACCGCAATACAGAGGCTCAATTCCAAAGCCAAAGGACTTTATTTGTTGGTTGTTGTGAATAGATATTGCGTGTATAGGGCTCATTCAAATTTGGCGGGTTAACATTTTGGACGACCACTTTGTTGTTAGAGTTAACACTAAGGATTTATGAAAAAAGTGAACTTTCGGAAAAATAAAATAAAAAGTTTATGGAAAATTTTGTATAACTTTTCACTATTTTATGTTCGCGCGGTATAGCTTTTAAGCGGTGCTAAGACTCAATTTATAAATATTTAATTACTTTTTCTTCTTTCAAATTCGATGAAGAATGAGTCTCCTTGTAATAACTGTCTAGAAGCATTATTCTGAACCATGTCCAAAGACTCCAAACTCGAGGGATTAGATAGTTGCCTACAACTTTCTCTCTCTACAACTTTTTCTCTGGCTTCGCTCTAACCCAAGCCGCCCCTTTTGTTCTCTCCCTCTGTTATGCTCCCCACCCCCTCCCATGGGGGTAGGGAAGTGCCGATCCTCCCCTTTCACCGCATAATAAATTCGAAGTGTTGTACAAAGTCGCTCGGTAGGTGGGTTTTTGATGCCGTTTGTTAAATCTGCTCTTATAAGGCTTGTTTCTGGCTTGACGGGATAAATTTGCTTTTTGTTTTCCCGCTAGATCTCTGATCTCTGTCGGGTGTCCCTGCCTTTGTGTGGGTTTTGTGGTCCCCACCTTTGTGTGGGTTTTGCTGTTCCTGCCTTTTGTGTGGGGTTTGGGAGGGTTTCTTCCCCATCGGCAACGCCTTGTAGATATAGTCTTAAAGCAGTTACCTTGACGATGGTCTGACTTATGCGTCATTCTCGTTGCTACTTTCCTCACTTGGTGGTTTCCGATAGTGCGTTGTTTTTCAGCAAATTTGGAGCCCATTTCTCAGTTTTATTTTCTTGCTTCATGATTTGTTTGTTTTTGTATGACTATTTATAACGCTCTTTGTAGATACCGCATGGCTGTTTTCTTATTGCCAGGGTAAAAAAAAACAAAAAAAAAAAAACTCCAAACTCCAAAGCATAGTTGTAGGGGTATGTATATTTTATACGTGTACACTGGGCAAGCTATTGCTATGCGAGGGCAATCCTCTTTTTCTTTTTCTTTTTTTTTTTAATTTTTATTTTATTTATTTATTTTTATTTTTAATATACTTATGCATGACCCATATTTGCTTCTTTTTTAAAATTTAATATACGACCCATATTAATCAATTTATATTAATTTTATTTGAATTCGTTACACCACAACAACAACAGCCGATGCTACAATCGTGACCCTACAAACCATGATACCATGATCCCAATATTATGTAACATTGTACAAAAACTTCAACTGAAGTTGCAATCCTTGGCATTTGTATTATTCTAAATTCATCAAAAGGACTGCCATTTATTAGTTATTGGTGGGGTGTATATATATGTAGAATATTTTAATAAGTTTCTTTTTTGTTTTTATTTAATAACGCTTTAAATAAAAACAAAAAAGAAACTTATATATATGAAAAAATCACGGAACAAAACCTTTAAATAAAAACAAAAAAGAAACTTATTAAAATATTCTCCTCCTGGGAGGTTGAAGAGTCAAAAAGTCTTTTTCTTGGTGGCACAACGGTGGGTATGTGACTCTGTTTATTGCAGGTTGGGTGAAAAAGAAAAAGACACAACCACCATAAAATAACGATTATATATACTTATATATAAATATATATATATATATATATATGAAAGATAAGAAAGTTAAAAGTTAAAAGTTAAATTAATAAATGTATGACATTTTAAAGTTTATAAGAGGCACTAACTTAGTGTGTTATGTTAAAAGAAAGAAAAAAAAAATTCTTATATTGATAAATTTATTGATAACAAAATAATAAATTATATTTATTTAAATTGATACATATCATACACTTATGACATGACATATCGTACATCCAATATATACTCTATTAGTGAAAATTAATTTCATCTCGAAACGCAAGTAATTATAAAGATGACTTCATGGAATCAATATAAAGCTAACCATAATAAATGGCATCCTTTTCAAAAAGTCGAGGTTGGATCCAACATCGCAAAAATGCAATTAGTAGATAAAACATCATTAGAAAAAATGAATTTACGTGAATTGGTCCAAATTCCAAAAAGATATACATAAATTAAAATGATTAGTTTCGGTCAGAGTCTTCACATTTTGACTAGTCTAGTATTCATTATACTTCTATTAATTTTCTCCAAGTCAATGTAGATTCGATCTTGGCAGTTGTCAGCCACCTTATTTTTATTTTTGGGTCATTTCAAGAAAGAATGGTCAACAATGTGGGCTCTCTCTAACAGAGCTCACTATTATTTTTCAAAATCAAATTTGCAAACTTAACAAGGTTTAATTAGTCCAAATTTTGATAAGAATAAATTGAAAATAAATCCAAATAAACTACCTAAGTTGAGTGTTTGTGTCATCCTAAATGAAAGAAAAAAAAAAAAAAAAAAACGAATAGTAATATTCAGACAAATAAAGTCATTCGATTATATAAATATATTTGGTAATTCGACTTTAAATCATTTTTGACTGAAAAATGTTCCTCCTACATTGTTTGAAAATTCTTTACATGGTTCTAATTCTAATTCCGCCTGCAGAATAACTTTTGAGGATAAGATTTCAGTCTTAAATAGGATAAAATGACTGAAATAACCTTTTGATGATAAGATTTCACATAAGAAATTTTAACAGTGGTGAAACAAAAAAAAAAAGAAAGTGAAAAGGTCTAATGAATTGGATAGGCACATAATTGAAATACTTTTATCCTAAATCATTTACATCATCATCCATACATGAAACCTATCATACCACATTCCATTTCGTCAATAAAACATACAAATGAGGAAATAAAAACACACACACACACACAACCCCAAGAGGTTGGCCTAGTGGAAGAGGTTGGCCTAGTGGAAGAGGCTTGAGACTTGGAGTTTCGTTAAGCTTCAAGTCTCAGGTTTGATTCCTTTTAGATGCGAGCAATTTCATGGAGCCACGACCACAGACATAGTCTGAATTTTACTCGGTCCGTGTGGAGAGGGTCGCCTTACACGGGTCCTCGGGGATTAATCAGGACAAAGTATCGCATACCTCGAATTTCCAAAAAAAAAAAAAAAAAAAACACACACACACACACACAAATACCTTTTATTCAAAAAGTTAGTCAATTTGAATCAGTTGAAAATTTTCCTCTACTCATTATAAAACTCATATAAAGCATCTAAAAGGTGTAATATCTAATAACTGCATCAAATCAATAAATAGGATCACCTAACAAATTGACTATGAATTTAGTAACGACCATTATTCTCCTTAATGATTTTTTTTTACCAATAATTACTACTTCCATTAATTTCAAACTCTTGCAAACACACAGGAGAATGAGAATAAAACTCATATATATATATATATACTCGTATATATATTTACCTTGGAAAACTGTACCTTTTTATACCTCATCTGAAAAAAAAAAAAAAAAGAAAAAAACGAAAAGAAAAGAAAAGAAAAGTGCAAGCCCACCACTCAAATATCTTTTTCTTTCACTGTCTCCATATCTGACCCACCACCACGACCAATCACACCACCAACAACCTTTCTCTTCCTGATATGCATCTTGACATAGAAATTCAAGAACAGCAACAAAACCGCGGAGTTGAGCACCGAATTGAACACCCAAGCCCCAATTCCATTACACCCACCTTTCATCAAATGCAGCAACAGAACCCCAACATGGCACAAAAGATTGCAACCCAGAAGCACAATCTGACAATTCACCACGAACGGCGCACACCCACTCGGCAATCCGATCGCCACCCAGAATCTGTACCCGTAAACCACCGAATAGACGGAGGTCGTGACCAGAATCGCCAGAATTTGAAACGATTGAGAGAATTCGAGCCAGAGAAAGGTCATGAAAATCTGGATTGATTGACTGAAGAGTTGGAAGAAGGAGAGTTTCCGTCGCCGGAGGACGGTGAAGTAGGTCCGGAAAGTGTGGAGGAACCGGGAGAGGTAGAAGATGTAGGACCAGAAGAAGACCCGACCCGAGGAGCGGGTGCCGAGGGGGAAGCAGAGCAGCCACTGGAAGGGGGTCTTGGAGCGGCGCCAGAACCACCTAGTGTCGCGGATCTCGGCGGCGGCGGAAAGGAGGATGCCGGCGAAGGTTGTGGCGGAGATGAGGGCCATGGAGAGGCTGTGGAGAGCCGGGACGGGTCCGAGGGGAACGGGTCGGGTGCGGCGGAGGATGAGGAGGAGGATGTGGAGGAGGAGGGAGAGGGTGATGTGGAGGGAGATGGAGGTGAAGAGGAAGGACCACGTCGAGCCCCATGATTGGGAGTGGCTCCAACGGAAGTTGACGATTGATGGGTGCTCCGATAAGAAATAGGTGAGGTTCTGTATCATCGTTGACCGTGTGGTGGTGGTGGTGTTCATTCCCATCACCGCCGTGGCGGGAATGAACGACGGCGGAGATGTGCCCTCAGCTTTTTTCTTATTGAAAGAAATGGAAAACAGAGCAGCTTAAAAAACGACCCTGTTATTTTTGGTGTTTATGCGTCGACGGTGGTGGTTTAGTTTGTGTGTTCTCAGGAGAGAGAGAGAGAGAGAGATGGTGAACTGTGAAGGGGTATTAGGGGATTTAATTTAGGGACGTGAATGGGCGGTGGATGTTGAGTTGGTTGCTGAGGTGGCGGGATTTCATTGGACATGTGGTTTAGTGAGGAAAACTATTGCACCAAATTTCCGATTTTCTTGTGTTTGTGCTTTTCAATGTGTTCCACATTTCCATATGGATTATGGAGTTGAAATGAATATTTTATTTTATTTTTTTTAAATTTTAATTCTAATTTTTAAATTAAAAAGCTTGCATTTACAATAAATTTAAGTAATTCTGATATAAAAAAATAAAAATAAATAAAAACTATCTGCTCATCTTTATTAAAATTTGTCAGATCCATTTTCCAAAAAAATTAGAGTTAAAACAACCCAAATTGCAAATGAAATGTAAGGGACCAATATGAATTTAAGCAACTTGTTGTATGGATTGGATCGAGTCTCTTACCACAAAAATCTACCTGATCGATAACACAATTACAAAATTAAACACATATTATAGAAAGAATACAAATACAACTTTTTGAATAAAGATAAATAAAAAATTACAAGTTTTAGACCTCAAAATTTATAAAAAAATATATATATATATTTGTTTCAGACCTCAAACTCATTCTCTTTCCTCTTAAATATTTTTTGATAACATACTCCAAACATCCTATATATTGAGTTACAAAAGAATTATGAAATTGATAATCTCATATCAAAATTGAGTCGCAACAACAGAACAAAACACAGGGCCACAACCCAACAAAGAATGTTTTTTTTCTGGAAATTTGTAGCTTTATTGTAAAGGGATTTATTGATGTAAGTTAAAATATTTTTATTTTTATTTTTATCTTTTTTGGTTTTTGGATTTTGGAATTTTTAGATTGAAATCCTTGCAATATTTATGATTTGTATGAAGGATTGGCATGAGCCGACAGGGCAACAGAACACATCAAATCACTTTTTGAACATATGGTAAAAAGTGCAGTCTTGGTATGAAAAGACAAGTTTAGGTACTCCTCCAATCTCCACGTAGAATCTATCAATGAAAATATAAAATATATATTCCCTCCGTCTCACAAAGAGTGTCACTTACGAGAAATATAATTTTTTAAGAGTGTTATTTTTTATGATTTTTTTTTTTTATTGTAGTATGAGATGAGACACATAGATTCATAGATCCATACATTTCGATTCGGAAAAGAATCAAGAGAAAAAGAAAGAATCGGAATTGATTGATATATTTCTCGAAACAAACGAAAAGGAAACGAAAGATGAAACGATCAACTAAGTCCTCTCGGGGACTTTATTGAGATAGGTGGGATTCCCCTTCCGAGAACCGTATATGAGAATTTCGCCTTGTATAGCTCAAGCAGAAACACCAAAAGAATAGTTACACCGCATATGTAATAGAAAGTTTGAAATTTCTTAATCTCTGATTTCATCTTTTTTGAAGATACGAAAGAATAAAAAAATAAGAAAGCTCTTCTTTGTGGTGAATTTCCTAATATGCCCTTGTAGCAATTTATAAGTGGTACAAAAGTTGTTTGTCTTGACCCAATTTAAATTTGAATTATGGGATCCACAATAACTTTTTTTAGAAGTTTTAATAACTTTTATAATTTCAAGACAAAGGGTATATTAGGAATATTTAAAAAATAGTGTATTGGTTTTTGAAGTATGATACTTATTTTGGGATAGTTAAAAAAGGAAAGTATGACACTTATTTTGGGACTAAGGGAGTATATTGAAACAAACATGACCTGTTGGTATCTTAAGCGAGCAATATTAGCTTTTTGCCAAACATGACTTCTGCTCTAATGGCTGAAGCTTCAAGCAGAAAAGCAATCAAATGGAGTTTGGAGTGGGGTTTAAGTGGGTTGGTAGAAAAGCTAATTCAGTAGCTCATGTATTGAGTGGACTGCCATCAGTTGTAATGTGTTTTTCCTTTGAATTAGGGCTGCAACTTGGGCAGGTTGAGCGGACTTGACACTCATCTCGGGTTAGGTTCATATAGAAAATTTTCTACCCAAGCCCAGCCCGAGCCAACCTATACATAATTTGTCCAACTCGAGCTCGCACTAAGCCCACTCAGAAGAATTTGTGTACAAAAAATAAATCAATTAATGCGGCACCCATGACTTGGAAGTGAAATCTTAAACATAAATCCCAAGCACACTACCAACTTAGCTACTACACCCTTGTGACTTAAGTATAATTATAAATATATATAATATTTTTGGACTTGGGTTGGGCTTCATCCATATCAACCCAAGCCCAGCCCGAATTGAATTCGGATTCAAAATATATAGTCCAGGCCCAAACCAAAATTAGAAAAACATTGTCCACACGCACAAAATTTCGGTCTGGGCTCGAGTTAGGCTTTGGGTTTCATCCATATCAACCCAAGCCCAGCCCTAATTGAATTCAGACTCAAAATATATAGCTCAGGCCCAAACCGAAATTAGAAAAATATTGTCCACGGGCACAAAATTTTGGGCTGGGCTCGGGTTATTTCGAGTTGGGCCCGCCCTAGTTGCAGCCCTACTTTAAATCAATGAAATCTTCTTTCTTGTCTTGAAAAAAAAAAAAAAAAAAAAAAAAAAAAAAAGAAGTGAGCAATAAAAGACAATTACAAGTATTTTCTATTATTTTTTATTATTCTCTATATATTTTTAGCTAGAACTTGTTAGTAAGTATATTCCTGTCATTAATTCCAAAATTTTCTCAAAAAATTCCATGGGGATATTCAATGCCTATGCTTGGCCAGTCAATGAGGTTTGATTTATTGGCCTATTCCAAAATGTAATCCAAATTGTTTATTTATTTATTATTTTAATAAAATGTTTAAGTTTTCAGGCACATTTGGGAATTTTTAGTAATTTGAATTTTAGGTAAATTTTTTAATGTGATTTTAAATGAAGTTCAACTGTATGTATAGTTGACACCCATTATTTACTATATTTAAGTTAAATTTTTAATGTGATTTTAAATTGAAGTTCAACTGTATAGTTGAAATCTATTATTTCTTATATTTATGTTAATTTATTACTGATAGTAGGCTTTTATGTTAATTTATGACTGATTGTAGGCTCATTGGCCAAGTTCTTATATCACTTAAAAGTTCTTATTATTTCCTATGTCTGCATCGTCACGATTGTGCTTAAAATAACTTTTTAAGAAACAAGTTTTTTAGAAAATTAGTTTCACGTAAAATGCTTTTAGAATTAATAAAGAGTGATGCATTTATATATTTATTTATTTATTTTTATGTAATTAGTAAAAGTAAGACTATATACCTTCTAATGCAAAACATTGGTGGCGCATCATTTGCATCACTTATACTTAACACTTGATGCCTGTATTCTCGTATTCTTGTGGTGAACACATATTAATATGTGAGCAAAATACATGAGATATCGTAATTTTTAAGTTTGAATAAAGATATTCATGCTTATTTCTCACCTAAAATAGACGGACCTAATTAATTATTTTCAACAAATGTCTTAAAATGAGTCCGTGTTATAAAGGGTCATTTGTCTTACATTAGATTCAAATGAGAAAATGATAAAGTATAAATGGGTGAGTATGCAGCACTACTTAATAGCTTGAATTTTTAAGTAAATAGGTAAAAGCCCACCCGTTATAATTAGTATTAGAGTTAGGTTCGATCCTTGATCTGGTGCCACGCCAAGCGTCCGATTCAAAAGGTGTCCAGGTGAGCTATCCCGAGTAGGTAGGGTGACTCGACAACAATGAGGGCATTGCGAAAAAGAATGTTACAAAATGTCATTTGTTCCACATCGAATATAAAAAAGTGATTAGATATAAATGTGTTGGTATGAACTTTTGGATAAATGCATGTGTCATACTGTAGACCTAATTGCATATATAACAATTATAATTGATTGAAACTGTCTATTCACTTTTAAAATAAATTTTCCGTAGGTTTATCCCATAAATTGTATATGTGACATGCACAAGATCAAGCACATTATTTCTCTTATTATAACTCCCATTGCCGGTTTTAATGGCCTACATTTGGAAAAAAAATTGCACCTTATTAGTATTTGGAAATCAACAAATTAGAAACTTATTCAAAATTTGATACATGAATCTCTCTCTAATATAAATTTATATAATATAACAAAAAGTACTTTGAGAAATCTTTCAAAGTGACTGGTTTTATTATATGTAACACCTAAATATATCTTTTGATCCTACACTTGTTTTATAAGGAAAAATTCTAAATGTATCGATTTTAACAACATATCTAATTAATTTAAGTACCTCAAAATCACCGGTTGTTTCCCTATATATTTCATAAATTGATCTTTAAATACAAAACAACCGATCATCCTTTTTTTTTATTATTATTATTTGGCACAACATTTATAGATTATTGTGAAGGGAAAAATCTCCCTCCAATAAGAACAATCCACGTCATCATAAATATAACTTTATCTTCAATAAAGGTCAAAGCCCATCTCGTCAGAAGCCCAAGTTGAGTTGGTCATTAGCCCAAAACTACTGTTATCTAACTACAGGCTTTACTAAAGCTCGAATCAAGACACCAGCAGTCATGTGTACCAAGTTAGATGCGGCCCAAATTCATTTAAAGAAGGAGCCGGTCCTACAAGGAAAAGGATTCAACAAAGGAAATAAGTTCTGTGTAAGGAAAATCCAGAAAGGGAAGAATTATATAGAGGAAATAATTCTATTTGTAAAGAAATTGATATATGGAAAGAATTAGAGGACAAGCAACGCGAGTCCTACCATAATTCTTCTAACTTTTGTATTTAAATAGAGGCCCAGACCTCCAATAAAGGGATCCAAGCAATTCTACGCTTCTCTATACACTGTTCTTATTTATTTTTACTGTTCTTGAGTGTGTTGTATTATTTTTCTCAATTGTTATTGGTTGAGTAGAATTTTGCACCTACACTTTGGCGCCGTTTGTGGGAATCGTGTGCAAATATATTCCCATTCTTGTTTTGTTTCACAAGTGAATCCTGCAGCTAACCATCCAGAATGTCGAACGGAGGATCTTCAGTAGATCAATAGATGGAGTTGATGCAAAAGATGCGTGAAGAGTTTTTGCACCAGTTTAACGTACTTCGTCAGGCAAACGAAGCAAGCGTGGCTCAGATCGCCTTGTTTTAACAGCAAAATAACGCTCTACAAACGACGCTGACTCAGTTGGCACCACCGCCACCAGTGGGTGACACAGCAGCACCCTCTAGTCAGAATATTCCTCCGATTACTGGACTTCCACCTGATGGGGTTCCACCAAATGGGGCACGGCCCAATGAGGTTCAGCCGAATGAGGTTCAGCAGCAACGAAAGGCAAGATCCGAGGCTGTGGCTTCAGATAACGACCCTCGTCGCACGCAGGATGAGTAAGTCGAATCCAGCCATAAGCTTACGGTGTGGTCCAATGGAATCCCAGATGGTGCAAGTGTTCAGGATGCTTTTGACAAGAAGAAGCTCCTGAAAATTCAGACACCTGCCGAGATGGCTAGAGAACACAAAAATTCTTTGATCAAAACTCCTTTCACTGACGATGTGTATCTGGTAGAGAGGCCCAAGAAATTCACCATGCCTTCTTTCATCCAGTTTGATGGAACAGGGGATCCTTCTCGGCACCTAAATCATTATGCTTAAAAGATGGCTTTGGATGATCGTAATGACCCTTGGATGTGCAGAGTTTTTCCTACCAGTTTGACAGGAGCAGCACTAGAGTGGTTCAGGAATAGACTGCATAAATCCATCCCGGATTACGTAACTCTATGCACCATGTTCCTGGCACAGTATTGCGGAAATAAGAAGCAAAAGAAAAGCATTGCCAGCCTCTTCACTGTAAGGCAAAAAAGGGGGGAAACATTGCCGAATTTCTTATCAAGATTCAACATGGAGGCATCAGAAATAGCGGATTGTCATCCCGCAACTGCTATAGAGACATTTAAACTCGTAATGATTCAGGGGACAAAGTTCCACACTTCCCTAGTCAAGTATTCTCCTCCCGACATGCAGACTCTAAATGCCAGGGCCCAGATCTACATTCGGCTTGAGGAGAATATAGCCCACCGAGCGCAGCACGCTACCCTCGTGACAGTGAAAAACAAGCCTCGAGAAAGAATCCCAACTCCAAAGATTCAAAAAAGCCAACGTTCCTCAACGCCAGTCACCCAGGCACCTAAAAAAAGGTAAAAGGTAGAGGAAGGATTTACACCTCTCCGAACTACCTTGGCTCGGCTCTTCCAAGAGAATAACACAAAGTTCACAACTCCGCAGCCAATAAAGCAACCCCTGGACCAAAGGGACAAAAGCAAGCATTGTGCTCATCATCGAGATTATGGGCATTCAACCAACGATTGCCGATCCCTCAGGCGACATGTAGAGAATATGATCGCCAGAGGTGAGTTGACAGATTACCTCATGACAAAGGAGCATGCAAAGCCCCGCAGGTCTATCCCCACAAGGTAGAAGGTACGCAAGTAAAAGTCAGCCATGCAATACATGGCAGGTCTGAAGATGATCAAGAGGAGGTGTACAGATCTAGATTGAGGGCGACCCACAAGCTCAGGAAGATATCCTCGGTCAATACTATCAATTCTGGTAGCATTAGTATTGGATTTGGAGATGGCGACCTATCCAGAGTGCAACTCCCCCACGAGGATCCATTGGTCATCAATCTTTTAGTGGCCAATTGTATGATCAGGAGGGTTTTGGTAGATCCAGGAAGTAGCGCTAACATAATCACAAAGACAGTCTTTGATCAGTTAGAGATCTCATCATCATCTATTCGACCTACCTCCAGCCCGTTGATGGGATTCGATGGCACACGAGTAGATCCCCTTGGAGTAATAGACTTGTCCGTAATCGCGGCAAAGAGGACTTTGAAGGAGAACTTTGTTTTAACAGAGATCCATCATTCTTACAATCTCATCATGGGAAGAGGCTGGATACATCGGATGAGAAGAGTTTCGTCCACCCTCCACTAGGTGATGCGGTGCTTATCTCCGGACGGGAAAGAAGTAATTAATCTGTGGGGCGATCAAGTCGCAGCGAATGAATGCTATATGCTGACACAGGTTGAGGTGAAGAGGATGTCGACTCAACAACAACCAGGTGAGGCTTCCAAAACTGGACCCAAATAGCAATTACAGAGCCCTCTGCCCAAGTATCTTAAGGGAAAGGAGGAAGAAGAAATTGCGAAGCCCACCGAGGAGACCCTCGAAGCCGTGGAAGTTATCTTTGGCGACCCTCAGAAGGTTACTTATCTAGGCTCTTCTTCCACGTCCGAAGAAAATGAGGCATTAATTGATGTTATCCGGAGCAATGCAGATGCCTTTGCATGGGATCACTCGGACACGGTAGGGATCGATCCCACAGTTTCCTGCCATAGCCTGAAGGTGGATCCGGAGTTCAAACCAGTCAAGCAGAAACACCGAAGGTTTGCCCCTGAACGCAATCACATTATAGCTGAAGAAGTAAACAAATTGTTCTAAGCAGGTTTCATTCGAGAAGTACAATATCCGCAGTGGTTGTCGAACGTGGTAGTTATACAAAAGAAGAATGGAAAGTGGAGGGTTTGTGTAGATTATACCAACCTCAACAAAGCCTGCCCTAAAGATAGCTACCCTCGGCCCAAGATAGACCAGATGGTTGATACTACCACCGGCTACGAGAGGTTGACATTCCTAAATGCATACTCGGGATACAATCAGATTCCTATGGACCCCGAAGATGAAGAAAAAACGGCTTTTATTATAAAAAAGGGGACTTATTGTTACAGGGTCATGCCCTTCGGACTGAAAAATGCTGGAGCTACTTATCAACGCCTTGTCAACAAGATATTCGATAATCTGCTGGGAAAGACAGTTGAAGCATATATAAATGACATGGTGGTTAAAAGTGTGAAGAAAGAAGATCATCTGAAGCATCTTCAGGAAGTTTTCAATACTTTGAAGAAGTACAACATGAAGTTGAATCCATCCAAGTGCTTCTTCGCGGTATTATCAGGTCAATTCCTCGGCCACATAGTGAATAAAAGAGGGATAGAGGTAAGTCCGGCTCAGGCTAAGGCCCTCTTCCAGAATCAAGAACTAAAAAATCGCAGGGAGGTGCAAGTTCTTACTGGTCGGATCGCAGCACTCAGCCGGTTTATATCCCGATTGTCAGATAAGTGCAAACCATTCTTCGATGCTATACGATCCAAGAATAAAGATATATGGGGACCTCAGCAGCAGGAGGCCCTTAGTCGGTTGAAAGGTTACATGGCTAAACCACCGATTCTATCGGCTCCAAAACCTGGGGAGGTTCTTATTATGTATTTGGCAGTTTCTAATACATCGACAAGTGCATCATTGATTAGAAAGGAAGGAAAGAGGCAATATCCAGTCTTCTACACAAGTAAGACCATGACAGATGTGGAGACGCGATATAGTAAAGCAGAAAAAGTCATCTTAGCTTTGATCTACGCCAAGAAGAAGCTTCGGCATTATTTTGAATTTCATAGCATTGTGATACTCACCAACTATCCTATACAGGGTATACTCTCTAAGCCTGATTTATCGGGGAGAATTACCAAGTGGGCTATCGAGCTTAGTTCCTTCGACATAACTTATGAGCCAAAGGTGTCGCATAAAGGACAAGCCGTAGCGGACTTCCTTCTCGAGTATGAAGATACTCCCGAAGAGCTGGCACACCCTGAGCCACAATGGGAGCTTCGAGTCGATGGTTCCTCGAATCAAGCAAGTGCAGGAGTAGGCATTGTAATATCAACACCCGAAAGCACCAAGCTGCAGCAATCTATATGTTTGAAGTTCCCAGCTACGAACAATGAGGCCGAATACGAGGCATTACTTACTGGTCTTCGGTTGGCTAGCAGTCTCCAGGTACGTTGCTTAAAGGTTTTTAGTGACTCACAAATTGTTATAAATCAAGTGACAGGTCAGTACCATTCCAAAGAGGAAAGAATGAAAGCATATAAAGAAGCTGTAGAGAACGTTGCACAGGGATTCGATCAGATCGAATTCTATCAGGTACCTCGTGTTGAGAATGCCGAAACAGATCAATTAGCCACATCAGCATCATCTTCAAATGAGGATCTGATTCGGATTGTGCCGATTAACGTTCTGGACGAGCCCAGCATTAATCCTCCGCAGAAAGTAATGGTGGTTCTAGTTATTCCTCGACAACCATGCTGGATTGATCCATTGGAAGCTTACCTCAAGCATGGGGTTCTTCCAGACCAAAAGTCCGAAGCACGGAAGCTCCGTATCACCGCAGCTAAATACACCATCATTAACAATCAGTTATACCGAAAGTCATTTTCAGGTCCTTACCTGAAATGTTTAAGCCCTACTGAGGCTCTTGTGGTGTTGAGACAAATCCATGACGGAGATTGTGGTAACCACTCTGGGGGCAGATCCCTCGCGCATAAAGTTCTGACTCAAGGTTACTTCTGGTCGTACTTGTCCCGGAATACAGAAGAGTATACACGGAGGTGTGACAAATGTCAACGTCACGGTCCCATGAAGCATCAACCTGTCGAAGATTTGCACGCAATGGCAAATCCATGGCCATTCGCACAATGGGGGATTGATATGGTGGGCCCGTTACCCAAGACTGTAGAACAAAAGGAGTACGTGCTACTAGATACAGATTATTTCACTAAATGGGTAGAAGCCGAGGCCTACTCAAGTGTGACCCATGAGAAGGTAAAAAGTTTCCTTTAAAACAACATTATTTGCCAGCTTGGGGTCCCAAAAGTCATTATGATGGACAATAGTAAGAACCTCGATAATAGAAGTACAAGAAAATTCTTTGCTAAGCATGGAATTATACAAAAGTTAGCTGCGGTTAGTCATTCACAAGGGAATGGACAGGCTGAAATAACTAATCGGATAATCTTCAGTTGTTTAAAGAAGAAATTGGAGAAATTCAAAACGAAATGGTACGAGAATCTCCCTCAGGTACTTTGGGCGTACCGAACCACACCACGGCGGCCTATGGGAGAGAGTCCCTTTGCCATGGCTTATGGATCTGAAGCTGTGATCCCAACCGAAGCGGCAGTTCCAACCCTTCGGACATTCTTATTGCTTGAAGGAAACAATAGTCAGCAGCTCGAACATAGTCTCGATCTCCTGGACGAAAAAAGGGATGCAGCAGCAATTAGGTTTGCTTCATATCAGCAACAGCTATGCAACAGTTATAACAAATGCGTCAGATTCAGGAGCTTTGTGGTAGGCGATTGGGTTTTGAAGCAAGAGACAGCTCATGTAAAGAAACTGGAACCTAATTAGACCGGACCCTACTGGGTTACCGAAGTAGTGGAGAAAGGAGCATATTGTTTGGCCGAAACTGACGGACGTCCCATTGCGCGTCCTTGGAACGCAATACACCTTAAAAGTACAATTCTACTCTATTTATTTCTTTCCATAAAAATAGGGGCCATACTACTCTATGATTTTGCAACTTTTATGCATGCGTCGCATTATGCAATTTTTATGTAGAAATATTTTCATACTACTCTATGATTATGCAATTTTTATGCATGCCAAGTCGCACTATGCAATTTTTATGCAAAGCAATGTTAGAAGCAAGCTGTTAAAAAAGCATTCGTCACAATGATTTTTAAGAAGAAAAAAAAAACATAAGTTATGGCCTATGTTTAAAACTTTCTATCTCACATCGACAAAAAAGTATGTTATACATTCTGTTATATATGGGAATATTCAAATAGTTAATTGCGGTGTAAGGAGGGCCCACTGGTATTTAAGGCTGTCAAACTCAATACCAGAGGCATTCCTTACACTGACCTTTTTGATAAAATTTAGTCTATGTCCCACATCGGATAGAAATAGAAAAGAAATGCGATTAATATATGCGTAGTCCACTACATTTGGTTGCCAAGAAGGGAGTATTAATGGAGGAGGAAAGTCTTCAAAGTCAACAAATAGGAAACTTCACAGCCACTGTTACTCGCTTTCTTGGCCTCTTATCATTTTTGAATCCTCGGCCTCATGATAAGTTGTTTGAGAAAAAATATAAACAAACCTCCCCTCAGGCTCAGTGCCGGAGAGTAATTCATTCGCCTCGGACCCTAAGTGTCCGGCTCGGCAAAAATCTCGCCTCGGACCCTAAACGTCCTGCTCGGCAAAACCTCCCCTCAGGCTCAACGCCGGGGAGTAATCTACTCGCATCGGACCCTAAGTGTCCAGTTCGGCAAACAAACCTCCCCTCAGGCTCAGCGCCGGGGAGTAATTCATTCGCCTCGGACCCTAAGTGTATGGCTCGGCAAAAATCTCGCCTCGGACCCTAAGCGTCCGGCTAGGCAAAACCTCCCCTCAGGCTCAGCGCTGGGGAGTAATTTATTCGCCTCGGACCCTAAGTGTCCGGCTCGGCAAACAAACCTCCCCTCAGGCTCAGCACAAGGGAGTAATTTATTCACCTCGGACACTAAGTGTCCGGGGAATAATTTATTCGCCTCGGACCCCTAGTATCCGGCTCGGCAAACCTTACTCTTACGCTTATATTCATTGATTCTAAGTTCGGTAATATAAGTCACGAGATTGTCCTACATAAAAAAACTACAAGAAGAAACAAGTATAAATATACTTACTTCACACAAATCCATTTCAAGAAGGATTCCCTTAGCAGTTAAATCACCAAAGAAAAAAAAAAAAATAATCCTCTATTATCAGATAAGCCATTAGAGGAGATCTCTTCTTCACATCTTATTTATCTTGCTTCGGAATAGAACAGATAAGGAACTCTCAGGCAGGGTACTTTCCTTAAAAATAATCTCATTTATGTGCAATATTAAAAGCATACTCAATCGAAGCAGAATAAAAATGATACAGCTTAAGAAATATGGATATATCATTCATTCTCAATGTTGTTTCATTACAAAAAAAAAAATAAAATTATTCGATCCTACTTCTTCTTCGGATCAAACGGGGTAGATTCAAAAGCATCTACCACAACTGGACTTACAGGTGGAGGATTTGATGGGCCAGTTGCAAGAATAGAGACACTTGGAGCTGAAGGGACCTCAGGATGAGCTTTCACCATCTCGGTAAAAAGAATTTCAGCTTCTTGAGCTTTTGGACCCTCATCATAAGGGAAAGACACCCATATGGGCATCAAAAGCCTCGAGATCTGTTTTCTTTTCCCCAGAACCTTGATTAAAGCCGGACCTGAAGGCCTTGGCGCTAGATAAGCGCACCAAACTGGTGTAACGACCTTGCATCTGCCTCCCTGTAATGATTCAGGTGCTAAGGGCATCATTCAAACGCTGGACTTCAGCCTCCAGCGACTCAACTTTGGCATCAAAAGCAGCCAAACGCTTCTTGTAAACATCCCGAGCCTTGTATGCAATTTGTGCATTTGCAATGGCATGGGATGCCTTCTTCTCAGAATTACTGAGGTCTTTCTCCAGCTTCTTAAGGGAAAGAGACTGAGCCTCAGCAGTAGCACAGAGGGCCATAGTATGATACAAGCCCTGCATTATGAGATAATAACAATGTAAGAAAGTGTGTAAGACAATTATGACAATGGAAATGAAAGACGGAGCAAACCTCTATGGCTCGAACAGGGGAGGATGGGAGTAGCTGTTCTAACCCCATTCTGCCGATAATTTCTTCATCCTTGGGGAGCCACATTCCCCGAGCAACGGCCAGTGCTGCAGATGGGTCAGTGATCATAGAATCACCAACATGGAGGATGGACTTGTCAGCCCTCGAGAAGGAAGGAGTCCAAGGTGCTCCAGCCTCGGCAAGGACGTAAGCGCTGACCTCATCCTCAAGGTTAACCTCTTCGATTTTCTTCCCTTTGCTTTTTGGGTTGGAAGCACCCTTGGATTTCGCGGTTGAAGAGGAGTTCAGCCTCGCCCTTTTGTTCAAAGGGACTTCGTCAATCTCTTTTTCCTGCTCATTTGTACGCAGTACAGTCAACGGAGCATTCTCTGCAGCTTTTCTCTTCAAGGCTTCAGCCCTCTGTTTTTCTTCCTCAGTCATGGGGAAGCTGTCAAAAGATGGAAGTGAGAGGTCCATGAGATCAGCGGCTACAACTCTGGAAGCAACTGCTTTAAGACTCGCAGAAGTGAGTAAGCTCTTGATCGAGGGAGGGTTGCTCCAGACCCGCTTTTCCAGGAAGGAAAGCCTCTTCTTGGCAGCTGAAGAAGGAAATGTTGCTGAAAAAACACCAAGAAACTCGTAAATATATTGAAATAATAAGACTCGACATGAGAAACAGCCCGAACACTCTTCATGAAGAAAGGGGGGATGTTCTATACCTAACTTCCCAAACTTGTGAGGGATTGGGAGTTTGCTTGATTGGGGCACGGCCCATTTCTTTTTAACAATTATCATCCTCTCTTTCTACTTCTTCTCAAAAATAGGAAGGTCTGTACATATCCTTTGGTGCAAGGGGGAAGTGAAAAAGAAACGACAAGGTTTGGTTCCATGCTTAGAAATAGAATAAGTAATCAGCAAGTCACCCAGAGTCAGGTCAAGACTCTTCTGCCACCAGCGAATGAGGAGTGCTGAGATTACTCGAAAGAAGTTAGGGTTTACTTGCAGGGGTGCAATCCCCAATTTGTTGAAGACTAAATGATAGAAGGGATGAAGGGGGAACCTAAGAGCATTGAGATGCCCAACAGAGAGGAGCAACTCGTCTTCTCCGACGCCCTCGCCGGCGCAAAAATCAGCGCCTTTGGGGTACTCTGCAATTTCTATCCCCTCGGGAATTTTGAATTCTTCCATTACGGATTCAATAGAGAACGGGATGCATCGAATAGATAGAATTGTATTCCTTTCTTCATTAGTGAGGATATTATCCGACCCAGAGGTAGATGTTTCAGCCTGGATCGGGGAAGCACCTGGCTGATTAGCCGAGTCACTTACAGGTTTAGGAAAGTTCGAAACCCTAGGTGGGGGAACCCTAATGAGATTAAGGGAAGACGAGGGAGTGGACTCAGAATCTACGACATCTATACGTTCAGGAGTAGTCGAAGTACTCATAATGCAAGATCGAAGAGAAAAAGATGAAGAACTAACCTGCTAAGACGACGGAGTGAAGAATGCAAGAAACATAGTGAGAGCAAAAGTAACCCTTATAGAATCTCTTAAGGCAGAATGGCAATGGGCAATCTTCGAAACGTCTTTTGGTAAAAAAGACAACCGTGCAACTTCAATTCCCTTTTTAATAGGAGCCGCAATCCAATTAAAGAGGGAATTGGGGGCAAAGTGTGGAGGGAAAAATCTCCCTCCAATAAGAGTAATCCACGTCATCATAAATATAACTTTATCTTCAATAAAGGTCAAAGCCCATATCGTTAGAAGCCCAAGTTGAGTTGGTCATCAGCCTAAAACTACTGTTATCTAACTACGGGCTTTACTAAAATTCGAATCAAGACACCAGCAGTCATGTGTACCAAGTTAGATGCGGCCCAAATCCATATAAAGAAGGAGCCGGTCCTACAAGGAAAATGATTCATCAAAGGAAGTAAGTTCTCTGGAAGGAAAATCCGGAAAAGGAAAAATTATAGAGAGGAAAGAATTATATTTGTAACGAAATTGATATATGGAAAGAATTAGAGGACAAGCAACGCAAGTTCTATCATAATTCTTCTAACTTTTGTATTTAAATAGAGGCCCAGACCTCCAATAAAGGGATCCAAGCAATTCTACGCTTCTCTATACACTGTTCTTATTTATTTTTACTGTTTTTGAGT